CTTCCGCCAGGAACTGAAGGTATGTATTGCAGCCTCAGCTTGTCAGCTGGCAATTGACTGTGATCAGATACTATTCTAGCCAAGAGGTATATAATTATTACTAAGACTCTCGAGCTATTATACGGTTATTTGACGTAATCTACGCGTTAAGGCTCGGAGCGGAGTGCTTAGGAGCCTTACCGCCGAGGATGATACCGATGCGAGCAGTCTTTGCCCAAACCAGAAGCACGACTGCCTCCTACTCCAGATTGGGTCCCTCCTTTGTGCCCTGGAATCGCTGGATCTCTGGCCGGAGAAAGACCCTGACGACATCCACATAAGTCCCAAACAGCTGCAGGAATTGCTTTCGAACATTCGATTATCAGACTGCCAACGCCATAATATTGGCAAATCCCGCAAGAAAGGGTCCGGGTGGGGGGATTATGATTTAGGTTCTGAAGATCCTATTCCATCTACATGTGACTCTTTCGCTGGTGTTGTCAGGCAGGTTCTGGATGTAGCTCCTCAGGACGGCGGCGTTAGTGAAGCACAGGAGAAGCATATGGCAACTCAGAGGCGCAAATTCAACTGTCCATGCGATAACTCCGCGAGACTTGAATGCCTGTCATACACACATGGCATACAGGCACATAATAATATCGAAAGACTTCCTTATATCCAACATACTGCTTTGGACTGCTCCAGGCTGTCTGACATTTCATGTCGCCAGCACTACATACCTTCAGATTATGTTCGTTCTAGGCGCCCCGGAAATATGGTTACGGAGATATCACGGCCAACGCCTGCACTAGGTCGTGGCTAGCCATCGATCTCTCCTTTTGCACAACTTATTAATCACCAATGATCGAAATGAAAGAAAACAAGACGAAAGGTCTCACAAATTTGCAAGTTCTGGTGCTACAGCGCCCTGGTACTGCATGGCCGTAGGACGTCTCATTACCACTTTTGAGGCGGTCAAAAACTGATCAAAATCAGCGACCAGCTCAGGGAAACCCTCGATCTTGCTGAACGCGGCTTGTTTATGCTCGTTCATCCTCTCTACCCCCTCCGCTGCACCGCCCGCAGCCTCATTGTACAAATTAATAAAGGCGATCAGCTCGGCCTTGAACTCTTCAAAGTCGCACTTGCGGAGGGAGCGCTTGAGGCAGAGGTTAGCGAGAAGTTCAAGAGCTGCTAGAGGATAGCTAGGGGAAGCAAACCTCAGCTTTGTCGCTGTAGCGGATGTAGGAGAAGATGGGGTCGTCTGTATAGCCTGGGACACCGAGGTGGCTTTCGTTGACCTCTGCCGCTTGTTTACTACCGCTTGCGGGCCCCTCTGGTCGTCTGACATTCGTCATGTTGAAGGGGACACTAAGGAATCTTTGTTTGATAAATTTTAAGGTCGTTAAGATGCGTGTGAAGGAGGCAGGATGGATAATCTTCGACTCTAGTTCTGTAGGTGATAGTTCTAGATGCACGCATGAGATTTCATCGCGCGAGCCTATATATATATATATGTCATATGGTGTCGAGGAGTAGCTGCAGGCAGCAGTCTAGACCCTAAAACACCTAATGAGGCGCAATACTTAACGGTCTATTATTGGCCCTGCGAAGACGCTATACGAGCCGCGAGATAAGAAATCAGGTTATGTAACTATAGCATCCAAGATCAAACTTGGAAGTGGTGAGTCTAGAAGTAAGGAAGTGATGTCGGATCAATGTTGGCCATGGATCCTTGAGGTATGTGGGGTTGAAGGCTTGCACGACCATGCCAGTTTCTTTTGGGAGGGGGGGTGGTTCGGCAGGGGGGTGACTCAGCAGTGAGTTGACTCGGTAGGGGGGTGATTCGGCAAGGGGGTGGCTCAACAGGCATTATTAGTCATTCGACCCTGATCCTGCTTATGCAGGTCCACTGCACTTTTTTCACAACCTATCGAGACATATAT